TAATTTTCATACCACAACATGAAGATTATTTGTACAACATTACTTGCACTACAGATACTGAGGTAGCACAGATTACGAAAAAACTTAATCCTGTTGAATTAATTAAACCCTCGAGGTGACTCTGGCTCCTGAAAGAGTTGGTACTGTGCAAACCCTTAAAATCCTCTGCATTAGCACTAAGCTGCTGGGAAAGTCTTAGCATAGTAAACATAGATTAACAAAGTCTAGAGCATATCCTGGTGCAAACAGGTAATCAGAACATTCCCCAGCAGACACTGAGAAAATGTGCTAAGTGCTGCAGTCAGTAGAGAAGTCAGCCATTGCAAAGGATGAAGTTGGATGATTGCATCTGTACATCTCTAAGGCTATTGCAGATAGATTTAAATCTCAGCAATTTAAACCCACTGAAAATGACAGGAGAAAAATAATCTCTTCCATATTCTGAGGGCTCAGAGCTACTACAGACTAGATCTCACCAATAAGATATTAAAATAGATTCTTCCCATCTTTGAATACCATGCAACAGCCAGAAAATAGGGTCTCAGTTTTGTTCTCTGCTTTGACTTCTGGGACATACATGCATGAAAATATGTTGATACAAAATGTATTACCTCCTGTCACTACCTCCCCTTACCTCTTCTCAGCAAGTCTCTTTACAGCTGCTTTCTATTAGTAGTTCACATCCTGGTGGCCAAGCCAGCATTCAAGCAAAATATTGAGGACCTCTAGTTATCATCATGCCTCAGTGACCCCGACCCTCAGACTGTATCCAAAGGCATGATCTCTCACTGCTGCTGCAGCAAACACCTAGTCTTACTCCCACTGTGCACATACAGAAGGCACAGGGAAAAAGGGCTAGATGTCACTAGAAGGTAGAAATATGAAGCCTTTATTTACAGTTGCAATCCAAACTGGTGCTCAAGTCTGGAGGTATTGCTCACTTGGCTTTTCCCTGTTGCACCTAAACATTCCCTGCACACATCTGTTGCTACTTCAGGGCATGTCTGGAGTTGGAGATTGAAACTGTTGGATACCTGGTCCCATGGGATAGTCCCTTTCAGAGCCCAAGCACCCCTCTTGCAAACAGCCCTTATCACCAGGGGCCACAAATCTCACCTCATGTATAAAGAGCAGTACAACCCAGCAAGTCTGGCTGCTTCCTTTGCCAAGTTTCAAGGTGGGTTTGCCACCCATTTGCTCCAAAGAAGCCTAGCTGCCTAAAATATCTTCACATTAGGGGAATAATGCAAATTCAACACTTCATCCCTCCTCAGGATGCACATCTTCTAGCCCTACACCCTAACCAGCAGCAAACCTAATGGCTGGGCCAGGGAGCATCTCCTCAGCCCTCACTCGGTCTCACCCTGAAATAAGCACTCAAGCAATAGAAGAGAAAGAATGAGCCCATATCCTCATGGTTTAAGCAATGGGTTTGCAGAAAGAATGCTGCATTTCTGTCCCTGACAGAGGTATCTTTAGGTATTTTCTATTGAACAGCCACGGGATAAAGACCCTTAGGATGGGAAACAGGCCCTAGCACACCTCTCCCAGCACCCCAAGCACTGGGCCTCCCTCTCCTTGCACTTGTCCTCCCTCAGCTGTCTGCTCCACAGTGGCAGAATTTGAGTGAGAGGAGCCTCCCTCCTCCACCAGCACAGGCTCACCCAGAGGTTAGGAAATTCTGGTGGGTGGGAGCCTGAATCTTCAATCTGAGGAGGACAGCAAACCTGAGCTTCCAGAGTAATGAGTGTTTCAAATGATAAGCCATTCTACAAAATGCAGCTGTTGGTCTGTACGTATCTTTTGGCAGCCAAAGAAAAGAGCAAGGCCTAGTTAGTCCCTGTGACAAACACAAGTTGGCACTGTTCTTGGAGACAAGACCATCCTTTGGATCCCAGGTGGAAGAAGGCTCTGGACCAGCTGCAGGCAGGTGCATTTGTGTTGAGCAGGCAGGATATTCAGACGTACACCTCTCACCTGTGCTTCCTAGCAGCACCTCACTCATTTGCATTTTCATTTGCTAGTATTTTTGGCCTCCAAATGTCCTGTACAAGATCTAGCTTTGCATCTTGGCTTGGATTCTCTCTGGATGGCTGGCACCTTGTAAGTGCACCCCTCCAGGCAGGGGTGACTTGCCTGTGGTGCTCAGGAAGGTTCATGGTGGAGAAATGAACTGGCCCAGCTCTGTCACCTTCCAGCCTGAGTGCTGCAGTCATCCTACAATAGTTAAAACCTTTTCTCAGACCATGCCCTAGATTTTTTATTGCTCTTGTGGCTTTTTTGTATGACCCTGTGGCTGTCATTGTACAGATTTGCCTAAAAATAAGGACTACTTTAATCTTCAGAGTTAAGAAAGCATTTTATACCTTTATTATTAAGCACATTCAATCATCATCATCATCACCATCACTTTAATGAAGACTTTCACTCCTTAATGAATAGGACATAATATTTAATCTGTGGTGCTGAGCCACAGCATCCTGCTTTCTGGGACAGAGAAAATAAAATTTCTTCTTCAGGGAAGTGAGAAAGCAGTTAATTTACCCCAACAATAAACAGATTGTGGTTTTTAAGTATTCTGATTCCAGAGAAGTGTTTGTTTACATCTGTAGATGTGCAGCCAGGACAGTAATAGTTCCCAGTGGGCTTTCAGATGTGTTTCTGAGAGACCAATCTTTCAGTGCAAGCAAAATAATGAGGGAGCTAAAACACAGCATTATTACTAAAGTTGATTTTGCACGTGATAGCTTCCAGAAACACTACCCACACACAAGAGGCAATGCTGCAGATTCTCCTACTGGTGTATTTCATGCCTTTTACCACCCATGCAGGGTGTCCAAGAAAGGAAAGCAGGACTCCAGGCTGGCTCAGGCACTACCGGAGAAGCAGTGCTGTGTTCCAGATGCACAGCTGCATTCTTCCCTGCTGACACCATCCTAGAGGCTGAGGAGAAGCAAGATAAAACCAAAAATCTTTAATTGGGCTTCTAGCATGACTTATCTTCATTACTGCGAGTAACTCCAATCCCTATTACATCCACACCATTCCAAGACTGCCACTTAAGGAGCTTTTTTCTGCTTCTGAGCTTCTTAACAGAGCAGCTGAAGCACACAGTCACACAGAGACTCTGCTGCTGCTCCTGTAATAGTCCAGCTCTGCCACCTACACAGAATTTGCACAAAAAGTCACAGCACTGCCTTTTGAGTGTCCTGGACTGTCTTATCAAATAAAGCAGCCTTACAACTACACATTGTATTCAGAGTTGTAAGACATACTTGCACCAGCTATAGCTACCCACATTTTCTATTTGAACCACAGCTAGCGCTGTTCTGTAGTCACATTTCTCCATTTTCTTACCAAGTAAGAGTTCACATCAGCTACCTTGTGGCAACAGTCACATCCTGGGCTGCACTAGCTGCACTCGCCAGGGCACCACTGGAGGGTCGGGAGAGGCGATTCTGCCCCTCTACACAGCACTGGTGAGGCCACATCTGGAGTGTTATCTCCACAAAAGAGACGTGGACTTCCTGAAGCAAATCCAGCACATCACCTCAAAGATAAGTGTGAGACTGGAGCACTTCTCATGTAAGGAGAGGCCAAGTGAGCTGGGACTGCTCAAGCTGGAGAAGGCTGAAGGAGTGTCAATACCTGAATGGGAAAGAATGAAGAGGATCACTTGCAACCTAAAAGATTCTATTTATTATGTGGATGTTTAATGTCTAGGTTATCTCCCTCCTAGAGAGGGCAAAAAATTCGAATGATGCCCAAATCTAACATACAATATCATAAGGGCAAGTTAGATTTTTACTTCAAGTTAAAACAGGAAATCCAGACACGATGCTGTCAGACAAGGGGGTAAAAATGGGCAAACCAAACTGTAGTTATATTTTAAGCATTGGGACAGCGAAGACTTAACAAGCTACGCTACATTGACAAAAGAGATAATTTTCATCTTGGTCATCGTACTGTAAACTGTCATTAATTACACTGTAAGAAGTCCATAAAGTCATATATATCTGACTGATAAAGCAGGAGTGTGCTGTTTATTCATGGAAAAACTGCTTCTGCCATCCAGGCCTGGATGTTCACCAGACGCTTTTCCCCAGCCAAGGTTTCCCCCTGGTGTCAGCGATTAACAATAAATATTGCGGCGTTGGCCAAAGCGGTGTCATTCTGTGTGCTGAAGAGAAGATGGTATTGAGGGGCTGGCCGCGGCACACGTGTGTTGGCAGGACTGAGCTGCCGAGTGCATCACTCCGGATGAATTCTCCGCACGTGTGACTTTTCTCCTCCACGTGTTAAGCAGAACTGTTATCTATCTTTTTTGCCGTGTCTTAGACAAAAAGACACGGGCAGTTCAGCACGAACAGGCCGCCCATGGAAGCTGTGGATGCCCCATCCGTGGCAGTGTGCAAGGCCAGGCTGGACGGGGCTCAGAGCATCCCGGTGTAGCGGGAAATGTCCCTGTCCGGGGCGGCGGGCGGGAGCGGGAGGCTCCCGGAGCCCTCCGCCATTGCCCCCCGCGCCTACGTCTCCCGTCGTGCCGCGCGGCGCGCTGCGGGCGGGGCGGTGCGCGGGGCTGTGCGCAGGCGCAGCTGTCGCGCGGCGGTCGGTCGGTGGAGCAGCCGGCAGCCATTGTCGCCGCGGCCGCAGAGCGGTTCCCTCACGGCCAGCAGGACTCGCCGCTCCGCGACGGTGCGTGGCCGCCCCTCCACCGCGGGGGGGCCGGGGCGGGCGCGGGGAGCCACCGGCGGGGTTCTGGCGGCGGTACCCTGCGGCGGGGCGGGAATGGGTCGAGGCCCGGGGGCGGCGGGCGGAGGCCGCTCTGACGCCGCGCGGCGCCGCAGGCCCGAGCGCTCGGCGGGGCCGCGGCCGGGGGGGGAGGAGGGGGGGGGGGACCGCCATCCATCGCTGCCCCGAGCGGGGAGGGCTGATCCCGGCGGGATGGCCGCGAGGAGCCGTCGCGGATTGGAGGCGAGCGCAAAGCTTCGAAGAGCCGCAGGGGCCGACGCCGCTGCGTGGGCCGGCGCCGTGATGGCGGCGGGCCTGTGAAGAGGGCCCGGCCGCCTTGGGCAGGCCGCAGGCCTGGCGCAGTCCCGGATCCTCACGGCTTGTCGAAAGGAGGGAGGAGCAGATGGCCGCTTGCTGCGGGTCCGTGCTTCCCGAGGGCTTTTCCGCACCTACTGAGTCGTCAGCGAGCGAACTCGATTTCATTGTGGTAGGAGCGACGCGTGAAGCTCCGCGCCTCGCAGGTGTCAATACAGATCTCGCATCCATTGTGCTCCTTGATAATGAGTAAATAACGCGCGGATGGGTCGTTCGTAAGTCTTTCGCAGTATATTTGACAGTTTCAGTGGTGATCAGTTCCACCCACCCACCCCGTGTTCATTTCCTTTTGTGATTCTTCTCCCCATTTTATTTTTCTAGAACTAAAAATATCTTACAGCAGTTACGCTGTCATTTTAATCTTTCAAATCTCTGTTGTTCCCAAAATGAGCGCTGTTACCAAAGTGGCTGTTCTTGCCGTGTTTTAAGGCATACAGTTACGTAAGGCTGTCCTTCCTCTACGAGGGCCTGCCGTTCCCTTAATACCCACGGCTGGCCTGGCCAGTGTTTGTGCGGTAAGGGTGCGCCAGGGAAGCCGTGTGTTGGAACACTGGGCACTCCGCGAGGGAGCTGAACCAGCCCCCTGAACTGGATTTCCCTGTGGGCATCAAAATGCACGGGTGAGCACAAAGGAGAGAATAGCTACAAAGGGCGCAGTGTAGGCTCTTCCGAGGTTCGGGGTTGAGGCCAGTCTAAGTGCTGTTGCAGTTCAAGCCCTCGCCCCATAAAAAGCCCAGTAGCCAGGCTTCCAAAACTCCGGCACTTCTCTGAGGGCACGGTAAGTCTGAGTAAAGAAAGTATTCAATAGAAACCTAATGGGTGTACGTTAACAGAGAAGGTAAATCACATTAATTCAAAAACTGCATCCCGACTGACGGGAATTATTTTCACAGCTGACATGACATGTCGTCTTTTTACTCTGCGTGCATTAGTGCCCAGTATTGTGCAAGATCACGTCATATTTCCATTCCTTAGGGCTCAAATTCTTTGGGTTTTTTTCTATGACAGCAGGCTCATTGAGTGAGACAAATAATTAATATTTTCCAGTTATGGGATCTTAAAAATTTTTAAACCACAAAAATCGAAAAAGTGACACCTTAAGGTTAAAAATAGAGTCTTACATAGAATATCTCAAATTATATATACTGGATTAGTGGATAGCTTTAAAAATTTAAGTGCCTCAAATAGCCTTTTTTATTTTTGCCATTGTTGAAATCTCATAATGCAAAATTCTTCTTCAAAGCCTGATAGACTGTTGAAATAATATTTATGGTTACTGGAAATGAAAATAATTTGATGGCTACCATTTATCGTTTGTGTGCTAATAAAATTTTATTGAAGAGATTTTTCTAGATAAAAGCAAAAGTTTTAAGAATGTTTTCTGTTGTTTGTTGTTATTTTCATTATTAGCATACGATTCTTTTCCCCAGCAGCTGCTAACCCAGTAAAATCTTTGAAATTACAGATTTGGGATTTTAAGTTTTATGATTAAAAAGTGCAAAACTGGAAGTTCTTTGTGGGTTCTGCTAGAAGCCAGCAAAACAGGATTTTATCCTTTCTCTGGCTGAAGAGAATCGGGCTTTTAACATGTATACCTGGAGGGCAGTAAAATCAAATCCTATTTAACGAAGATTTCTGAGGTGTAAAAGTGATCTTAATCACCCTATTTTAAGTTTGTTAATCTGATAAACGGTGCTGTTTTCTTTTTTAGCATCACCCTTAAGATGAGTGGCTGCCGTGTCTTTGTTGGACACTTGAGCTCACGAGCTCGTGAACGGGATGTAGAGAAGTTCTTCAAGGGATATGGTCGCATACGAGAAATCCATCTGAAAAATGGATTTGGTTTTGTGGTAAGTAACAGCTTTGTTTTCCTTGCTCTTGCTTGCAGGTACTAACCTTGCTAGGATGATGTCAAGGAAAGGAAGATGTTTAAGATAATATTTACAGCGGGAAATGGAAAATATTAATAAACATTTCAGAAGGCTTTTCATAATTTTGGATTACAGTTTTGGCCAGGTTTTGCTCAAAATTTCTGTAATATTCCAGCTACATTAAATACATTGTTTGATCATAGTCTTCCGTGAGTTTAAAATTTACCCCTCATTTCTGAAGACTCTATGAATATTCTGTTATGGCAGTACAAAATTTTGCAGTCTTCACCCAGAAGAAGAGTTTATAAGAACCACTTAAGTGCCACTCTCAGCCCTTGCAGTCTGCTTGGTCATATTTCTTAAATAATGGCCTGACTTAAAAGCAGAGTAGTTGGCTAAGACAGCTGGTGTAGTGGGTGCTGGCTGGTGGATCCAAGCAGCACAGCTTTGAAGTCTTGTGCAGCTGAAATTCAGCATATTCATCATCAGTACGTGTTTGTAGGGCATATATGCTTGTCAGACTATGAAATTAAATAGACAGTTTATTGTATCTCAGTTACCTACCACTGCTTTCTAGAGCTCTGTGCTCCTAAGTGTCCAAATTTTGCAGCTTTACAGATCGACTCAGAATCAGCCTATGTTTTAACTTATCTCATGAGAATTGAGAATTAGCTGTTGTGCAGCACTTAGTTCAGACTTGAAAGGCTGATACTGCCCTCGCATAATGGCAGGCTTACAGGTCACTCTTTCTGCCAAGATCAATCCCTTGAGTGAAGTTATTGGAAAGGAACAAAAGGACAGGCTTTGCCTACTTTAGTTTCATGTGAGTATTGCTCCTTAACTCCTACACATAGTGGTTTCTGGTTCCCTTGCATTCTGAGCTGCTCGTTCACTGCCAGCAGGTAAATAAATACCTGTCTCTTAAAAGTCTGGAGGTAAGTGGCTGATGTAGACATGAGCCTGAGTTTATATTTAGAGTGCTCTTTCCAATTGCTGCTATTTCTCAGTCCCCTTTCCTTGAGTGTTCCTCTTCTCTTCCTGGGCAGGGCTGTTGTCTCATTCAGGAACAGCTTCTATTCAACTCCTGTAAGCGAGTCAGTCAGTCCTCCCTCCTCTCTAGTTCCTAGGTGGAGCCATTTTCTTTGCAAAGATCACTAATAAGATTGAATAATTGTCTCATAAATTTATATTAATAATGCAATTGTTTTCAGAATAAAATGCTTTTTCTTTGCAGCTAAACAACTTTCCCTCCCATACTTGTCATCCTATCATTGTGCACCCATATCAGAAATCACTTCCATTGTTTGTGTAACTGTGTTCTAGGTTTTGGAAGACTGACTGTATTCCCTTGAAGCTGCCTTTTCTTCCTGCTGAACAAACACAGCTCTCTCAGCTTTTCTTTGTTATACAACCTTCTGATGAATTTTGGTTGCCCTCTGCTAGTCTCAGTCCAATTTTTCAATGTCTTTTATGAGCTGGAGAGACCAAAACTTGACACAGTGTTCCAGGTGTGGCCTAACAAATGCCAAGTGGGGTGGAATAATAGCACCCCTCGGTTTGCTGATTGTACTCCTACGGATGCAGCCCAGGATACAATTTGCTGTCATTGCAGCAAGGCCATGCTGCTGACTCATGCTTAGCTGACTCTCTACAGGATTTCTATGGCCTTTTCAGCAGAGCTGCTCTCCAGCCACTCAGCCCCCAGCGCATTCTGCTGCTTAGGATTGTCTTATGCCACATGCAGCACGTCATGGAGTATCTTTCATTAAGATTTGTCATTCTTGCTTGCTTAATCTTTCAGCCTATCAAGGTCTTTATGTAGGATGGTTTTTCATTCTGGTAAATTTATTTGTCCTCCCACTTCGGTGTCAGACGCAGAACTGCTGAGGCTGTGCTTGATCCTGTCATCCATGTCATTTATAAACACATGGAATGGCATTATCCTTCATGGCACTTCATTGGCCTTGTGCTATCAGCTCTTCTTTATTTTCTGTTATTTAAGACTTGTGTTTATAAAACTTATTACAAAACCAAGTAAACATTGTTATAGTGCTAAAAGCATGTTTTGTTGTGCTTGATTGAAATCATTGCTTAATCTTTGAAACTAATTATATTTACTTAAATTTTGTAGCTTTCAGAACATAGTGTTTTCAAACTTCAAACCATAAAGCTAGGTAGACTTGCACATGTTCAGTTTGTTAGAAAGTAGTTGACATAATGGGACTTGTAGTTGCCAACTACTGATACTTTTAAATGCTGGACTTGAATTATGTGTCTTAAGATAATCTTTGCATCATCATGCAAGGATGTGTGATGTTTCACTTGGTAGTGAAACAAATTTCAGTGGAGAAGGGGGAAGATTGCTTAAGCCAGTATTGCTTCTGAAAAGCAGTTTATAGTTATGCAAACACTTTGTTCAACTTGGGGAGCTTCTTCTCTGTTGTTCGTTCCTTGCAAGCTGCAGTTCCACAATTTTTTCTCTCCATCTGCCCTGTTGCTGCCAGCAGTCCCTACCCAGCTGCTTGTTCTCTCTGTTTTATTTCTTTCCTTTGTCCCCTTGCCTCTCATGGTGTTGCTGCAGTTATCCAGCCACACATAATGAACCTACCTGGGAAGCTGATATGACTGAAAAATAACACTTTTTGACCCCCACCTCCTGCACAAAGTGGGCTGTTTTTTCATCTGGGTAGGTTTCTTGACCTAGTTTCCTGCAGAGCTGTGCAAGCAGCTTTGCCAAGAACCAGTAGGCTGGATAGTGGGCAGAGGCTACTCAGGCTGACTAAAGCAGCATTTCTGCCAAAAGTGAAGTGACAGATTCCATTGCAACAGTAAAGGGAATTATGCTTGTTATAGCTGATCTGGACCTGCAGGTGGCCAGCGCTGAAGAAGGGCTTATGTTTCATACTCTTCTTACATGGGCATCTTTTTGCCAGCTAGTGAACTGAATTCACTCTGAAAAAATTAGGAGGGCTTTTTTTCTGGTTCACTCTTTCTTTGCCGGTTCAGTAAGAATTTAGTCTTAGGAGAGTTTTGGCAGTGCACAGCTCTCCCGCATTTGATCAGCTCATGCTGTTATATTCAATTTTGCTGTATGTGGAGCTGTGTTTTAAATTTATATGCCTTTAAGTAGTTTCCCCCACCTCTCCCCAAAAGTATTTTAGATATTTCTTAGCAAACCTGGTAATGTAATTAATAAGTCCTGCAAATAAGTTATACTGAAACAACTGGGGAGGCAAAAGGAGTTTGTGGGATGGAGGGAGAAGAAATCATCATGACTAGGAACATCTTGGCTTTTCAGTCATAAATGTACTAGGAACTAGTTTCCTTATTCAAAGTTCTTGGTGATACTTGCTGTAGAAATGTAAAATTTATAAAGAAGCATATTTATTAGTATTTGCATATACTGTGAGGGAAAATACATTTTTATTTCTATTTTCTTCTTAGGAATTTGAAGACCACAGGGATGCTGATGATGCAATTTATGAACTAAATGGTAAAGAGCTGTGTGATGAAAGGTAAGTTGATAGCATAATTTCCCTTAAGAATAGAAAAAGTGCTTTGCATCTAAATGCAGTGCATCATCCTGTGCTCTGACACCCATTTCCTGTGGTTCTATAGTAGGATATACCTTCCATAACTTAAAAGATATTCATTAGGATCCAGTCTTGTTTAAGGCAAAGATTAGTTTAGGACTGGAGGAGGGCTGACCATTTTCTCTACTTGTACTTTGTTCTCTTTCACAGGTAACTCAGGATCTTCTCATTAGGAATATTAGTAAGAGTGAATTGAACTTATTTAGTATTTATCTGTCTATTGACCAGAAAATAAGCTGATGATAGCCTATTATCATTTGGATCATTGCACTTCAGTTGGCAGCAATGTGAACTAGTCATTGAATGTTGCAGTAATTTTTATTGTGATTATGGAAGCTGTATGTTAGGTCATTAGGTTGTTGTTGGTTACTTTAGTATTCTTTTCTCTCTGTGAGTATTCCTGGACTCTGGTTGAGCATATTCAAGTGTTTGTCTTAATTACAGAGTCATGACAATTTTCATGAAAATCTGAGGGAGACCAATGAGAAAAAACACTGGTCTGGCTCTTTAAGAAATGCCAGTGGTTGTGTTATAAATCGTTTCTAGCAAGGGCAAGATAATTCTTGTTTGTGCACATTTGCTTCCAGTCAATGTCAAATACTTTAAGTTTGTTGTTTTAATTTTTTTATGTGCTTGGGGTTTTTTTGTTCCTGTCAAAAGGGTCACAATTGAACATGCTCGAGCCCGAAGAGGAAGGGGAAGATTCTCACAACGGTTCAGTTACTACCAGTCGCAGAGTGGATCTAGGTAGGTGGTCTGAGCTCTCTGTCCTTTTCCTCTTCCAGTCACAAAAGAACTGTGTCCTTTTCTTCTTCCAGTCACAAAAGAACTGGAGTTTTCTTTTTGTGATTTAGGGATCCAGCTCTGGTTCCCTGTATAGCTTCACAAAAAAAGTTTTATGTTCTCAAACCTTGCAGGTTCATTACTATTACTTGCCCTCTCAGGCTGAGGAGAGTGGGGATTTTAAAGCAGTTTAACTGTCTCAGAGAGGTTCACAAACCTATTATGAAATGTGCCTTTGCCATATTGTAGGCACTACACTGGTCTTGCTTCCTGCTGTCATGTAAATGACGTGAAGGAGTATTGCTGCAGTTGGATTGGCTGATTTTAACACTAAGTCAAGAGAAATGCAGAGCTTCTCTATTGCAGCTTTTGATTTTGATTCACCAAATTGAGCTTACCTGATAAGTAGGATGTTGTAGAGCAGTAATTCAAGGTATTTACTGTCTAACCAAGTTTTCACATTTCCAGTTGTATGATTATCAAAATGCTTATTTCAGCACAGCCTAGAAAAGGAGCAGTGCTAGGGCACAAGATAAACACTTGTGCATGTGTTAGTAAATACCAGTTGACTAAGTTTGCTGACCAAGCAGGAGAGTCTCTCTCCAGTGATGGAATGTGCAAACCAGGACACAGCTCATCTCTAGAATACCTCTGGAGGACATGCAGTATTTGTGGAGTTGTTCACTTTCAGTGATTAGAGCCAGTGGTGAACCTTGTGCCAATGTGCAGTGAAAGTTCTGCAGATTTGCATGTATTCTGCCAGCCAACTACACATTACATCTTTTCACTTCATATCTACCTGTGTGAAGGAAATATGTGGGGAAGAATTTACTCTGTAGAAACATTCATAGCTGTGGCCTGTGCAGAGTAGAGTTTGGAAGAAAGATGAAGATACATGGGACATAAACCTTCACATCTGTTGCAAAGTCAGAATTGCTGCCAGTTACCAACCAATGTCTGGAACATCTAATTTGCATATGCAAGCGTGTTAATTAGATTTTTTTTACTTTAGTGCCAATAACCTTGGTGTGGTATAATTGGTCCAAGGTCCAGGCTACAAGTGAACTTTCAAAATAGCAAGTTTGTTTGATTGAAGGTCGTGGGCATCTGACTTTGTAGTCATGTTCATGATGTCAGACTGTAGTCTGACAAGAAGAGGTTTGCAATAATGGAAAAATAAGAGTCATCCTGCCACTTTCATGTCTCTGAGTCCTCTTGTTTAAATACTTGGCAGATCTGGGTGTTCTGAAAAAACTTGGGACATTCTTCTAGTGGAGTCTTAAATATACTCTTTACTAAGAAGAATCAAGTCTGCAGTCCAGCAATAAGCAAATTACTTAAATCTTTCAGTGAACTGTAGAAAATGTCAGATTTCTTAAACTTTACATTCCTTACACTGGAGATTTTTTTCTTTTTTGTCCCCTTTGAATTCTTCCAGCCGGTATGGGCCTCCTGTTCGTACTGAACACAGGATCATTGTTGAAAACCTTTCATCCCGTATCAGCTGGCAGGTGAGTTAGCATCTTACCTTCTCTTTTTTACACCTTATTTTACTACTCCGTAAGTAGACTGCGTTCAGTCTAATTTCTTAATAAAGCCATCATAAATATTTAATGTCAACAAAAAATAAGAAAAAAGCTTCAGGGATTGGTGAAAATTAGCATTCAAGCACTTACAGAAGTCCTTTGTTTCAAAGCTGCGCAAATACTCTGTAACTAGATTTTGTAGTTGGGAACAGATTCTTAATTCTATTTGCCAGCTGATAAAACTTAAGAAGACTCTAAATTGTTTCTAAAATATTGAAACATTGCATTAATTCAAACTATGTAATTCTTTTGTATTGTTACACCTGGAGATGCATGCCTTTGTTTTGGTTGTAATTTACAGTCTTTTCTTATGTTTTGCAAAATATTTTTGTGACCCAATTAACGATTGAGAATTCTGGTAATACATCATTATTAGAGGAAATTTTAAGAGAGCTACTGTGTCGAGTATGCTTATTGTAGATACTTTTTTTTAAAACCCAAACTTTCAGTACTTGTAATTTGAAGCTTTCTTACCACCTTTCTTTTTTTTGTTGTTTTTTTTTCACCTCTTGCTAATGTTTTGCTAATATTTAGTTCGCTTTTAACAGAATAGCCATGTAATAAATTCTTTTAGTTATGTTCTGTGTAGTGTATAGAAAGTTCACTTTGTAAGGACATAGCAACAGATGCTATTTACAAAAGGTGAGTGAATAGTGGAGTTTAGTCTTGTTCGTTAAGCTATATATTCTTTGAATAAAGAGACTTTGATTAAAGTCCTGAAAGATGCAGTAGGACATATTGAATGTTCAAAGCCTCGGCCTTGGAGCTACTTCCCCACAAGGAGGCTTCTTGGTTTGCCTGGAGCTCTGCTGATGTGTTTCGTAAGAGTTGGGTGCAATCCATGCAGATCAACGGTTGAACTCAGTTTATCTTCTGCATGACAGGTTCAAAGGGTTCGTAACAGAACAGTTGTGTTAATTATTGAATAACTAAAGAAAACCAGCTGAGTTGAGGTGATCATCAACTGGATTTAATCTAAATATCTTCTGGGTTTGCTACGCAGTTACATATATGAAGAGATTGTCACTTGGAAACAACAGTAGGGACCAGAGAAGTAAGCTATAATGGAGTGTTAAGGAAAACAAATCCTATAAGGCTTTTTAGTGTTAAATGCATAACTTGAAAAAAAAATTAACATTTTTGTAACTTTCTTTTACTTGTGAATATTTATAATGGCTTTATGTGTACTTACATTTTAATCTGAAGCCCACCCAATTCAGATTTCATACTGATGAATCTTTTAGTATTCTAATGAAATGTTTTAATGTCTCTTAAATACATGATAAGTTATCATAAGAGACTTTTCGATACCTGCCTAAATAGACATCATCTGAAGGTAACAACCATATGCAAGCTACATTTACTTTTGAAGTTGTACTGCTTTGGTACTAACTCTTTAGTGTTTTAACTTCTAACTGTGCTACTTAAAACACATTAAAATAGCTAATCCATTAACAGTAGTGCCATTATTCTTCCCTTCTAATCTGTGCTAGGAAGCACACTCGTTATGGAACCTTGCTTTTAAACTTGCACACAGAATTTAATCTTTGGTGTGCCCAGATCCCATACTTTGAGAACATCTATCTCCCTTAAAAGTTACTGTGTTGGGATATTTAAACATAGAAAAAGCTAGAAATATTTGTATTCAGATCAATTTCCTCAGATTGTTGACTATATTGTTAATAGATAATCCCATCTCTAAGTAGTAGACAAACTGTTAGATGCTCTCCTTTTTTTTTTTTTTGGCAAACGTGTATTTCTGCATGTTTAGAGCTTTCCAACCACCCTGATCAGTTTCCCAGTATCAAATTTTCAAGCAATTGAGAAAAGTAGGTCTGTATTACATCAAGATATATTTTCCTACTTATGGTTGTCCTACACCTTATTTTTCTCTGGTGCTAAGGACAGCAGGGTTTTCTTGTTCTATTTAAGGTGACCCAGAACAGTAAATTTAAGATAAAATTTGATTGTTCCACTGGTTAGGTGATACCAGGTAACTTCTAAAACATTCCCCTAATTACAGAATGTTGAGCTTTTATAACACATGCACACTTCCTCTCTTTTGAGAAGTAATGTTGGCCTCTTAATCGTGTTGACATTGCGATTGCAAATAATATTTCATGTTGACGTTTCTTAGGATTCAGCACGTAATGTGGCAGGATTGTGGGAGCCTCAATGTTAAAGCCTAAAGTTACTGATTTGGGAAATAATTGTGTAGATTAACATTTTTTAACTCCCTTTTGACTTACCAGTCCTGGTCAGGTTAAAGTCTCATTGACTTGAGCAAAGCCAAAATTTTGTCCATCATCTCTAAATTGAGATAATTTGAAGTATTGTTTTTAATAGTACTAATAGGGACCAATTTTCATTTGCTGTTAGGGTTTCTTTATATTAAGACCTGTGAAACAAGGAAAATATCTACTACTTTCCATGTATCAGTTTTTAACAAAAAACTATTGAATCAAAATACTAGATAAAACTAAGCTTTTTTATATTCTGTGGCAAATGTTCTAAAGTTTTTTCTTGGCTTTTTGTTTTGTAGTCTTTTGTTCCTTAAGCGTATTTCTAATTCTAACCAAGTGCATTTTGACCTTCTTCTAACAACCTTGATTTGGTTAACCTTCATTTTTCTTGTGTGGAAGAAAAAGAACCAAAGATTTGGGGGTTTTCTAGTGGCTGAAATTCTAGGGTTTGGCCTGTTCTGAATTTTCCTTTTGGTTCCTATGACACTCCTGTTTTTTGGCAGTCTAGATCTTGGTTTGCCTGGGTTTGATCTCGATTGGCTAGCACAGATCATCCTCGGGTTCTTTAGCCACTTCTGGAGACTGGAGACTATGTCCAGTGCTTTCAGGGCCTCTGGTACCTCCGTGAAGCATATTGCTATGAGCCATCACTGCCTTTCTCATGTAAGAGAGTTCCTCTTGGCCAGCTAGGTATTGGACAAGCAGCTCTTTGCTTAAGGTACCTTCTTATATCACCTGCCACTTGTGGTGTGCTGCGGTAAGTAGTGTGGGTTATAAAATACCAGATACTGTTGGGTAAAAGTGCTGCCTTAACTTAGACAAATGTTTAGCTTTTTAGTGACCTCTTGCATTATTTGTTTGTACTTTCTCCTATTGCTAAGCGAGTAATTTTACTTGTCCACATTTAGCCTCTGTTAAGTTTAAGACAAGGATGTACATTGATGTGACACTGTAGCGTGAAGGATACTCAAATGAAACTTTTAAAGAAAAATTCCTTTGTAAAATTTTTAATTACATTGTAGTTAGACGTTTTGGCTTTTAATTTTGCTTTGAAGCTGGGGGAGGTGAGCATAAAGGTTGAATTTGTCTACACTTTTTGGAATGTCATTTAACTGGGGCGTTAGTTATGAAAATCTGGATTTAATACTACCGCACTTCTCAGTTCTGATTTCAGGGGACATGTTGGTTTTTTAAGTATTGCATTGTGTTTTCGTAACAGCTGGTTTTGGGATGTAGGATTATCTTGAAAGCAGTGTTTTATTCACTGTAGCTGTAAAATGATGCATCCTTTCTGTGTGCAGCTGCTATTACATAAGCTGTTTCAGAAACTTTTTCTAAATTATATATATATTTTTATTTTATATAGAAATTAAAAAGCATTAAGCAGTTTCAGCAGGGAAAGTTTTAGGGGAGTATTCTGCTACCTGACTGATTTGTGTCCCGTTCAAACTAAAATGTTAACTTTTGCTGTAGGACTTGAAAGATGTCATGAGAAAGGCAGGGGAGGTCACCTATGTGGATGCACACAGAAACAACAGGAATGAAGGGTAAGTTCATTTTGTGTCTTTGTGTGATATGATAGCTGAAACTACTAAGGGCATGAGTTTTCCTCTAATACAGAAGAAGTGAGATATAGATCTATAGGGTGGCTTAGATGCTGAAATTTCTCTAGTTAAGGAACCAAAACAATCCAAAACATGAACTGATAGTAAGTAGGAATTCAGTGTCTATTCTCTATCATGAAAGCAGGAAAGGAAGGGAGAATTCCTTTCAAACGTTAGGCCCTACTGTCTTATTTTTATATAATCATTTATGATCTGAGGCCTGAGGCTAAAACACCTCCTGTCTGTGGCTGCTCTACACTGGTTCAGCAGTCAAAGTCATGGGAAATGAACATAACCAACTTCCATGGGGAATACCTACCAGACTACAAAGGTCCTGCACAGCAAAGCAGGAGGGAAGGAAGTGTGAATAAAGTGTCTGTGCTGGCAAAACTGTTCTTGGGCCACTGCAAACCAATGCAACATAGACCCTTTTTTGAGTTCAAACTTAAAAAACCACAAAGACTGGACTTTTCTATTCACTGTTAAAATTCTTGAATAAGTCAGAAGAGTCTGCAAACTTGTTTTGTTTCATGGGCAGCTTTGGGATGCAGTTTAGTGGAGGACTGAAAGGTATTTCCTCAGCTGATGCAGGTTTGTGCAGCTTTCTGCATTTTCTCCATCTCCTTGCAGATGGCAGTTCTGCTATTGTTTAAGTAGATGTGAGAGGTATGGATAGCTAGGACTGTTGGTGTCATATTTTCTTATTAACCATGTTAAAAACTAGCTTTCAGAAGATGAAACAACTGTGAATCAACAGATTAAAAAAGACGTGCTTTCCTTACTTTTTTGCTTCTCTGAAACTTTTCTTTCATTTCATTATGGTATACAGGGTTGTGGAGTTTGCATCTTACAGTGACATGAAGAGTGCTCTGGAAAAACTGGATGGCACTGAGCTGAATGGACGCAGAATTAAACTGACTGAAGACCACAGAAGGCATAGGTATGTCACCTGGCATGATAAAATTCTGCTGAGGGCATGGATTTGGGTAGTATTTGTGCCAAAGTTTGATTATGTAGTTTTTTGGCCCCAAGCTAAATATCACTGCACAGAGCCACTTTTGAGCAGTGTAAACAGATAAGGATAAGAACTAACTTGCTTAAACAGGGTAAATAGAACAGTTTTGGATGTGGGTAAAATTTTTTTTAAAGACAAAATGTGGTATTATAAAGAAAGAACTTCTTAAAACATGAATTTTCATATTAAAAATGTTTCATTTAAAGGAAAGCTGTTTCACAGTCCTGTGAAATATTTCTCAAATAGTTGTGAAAGCCAACTTGTTCATGAGAATAAAAGAAAATCAGTTAGCTTGCTTGCATTATTTCTAACCAGTTCTGCTGTTCAGTCATTAAAAAACATGTGGGCTGCAGCTCTTTCATTATCTCTTTCCATGAAAAAAGAGATGCATTACTAGTGAAGGTGTTAAAACTCTAAGGCCTTAAAGTGTGCTGGTGATCCAACCCTTTAGAGACTTAGCCTGTTGAAAGAAACTCTTGTTTGCCTGGCATTTCTACAGAGAATAAACACCACAGGTATAAAGTTCCATTTCTGTGTTTTTCTTGATAAACTAAATGATACTTCAAGGCAGGATGTTTGCAGACAAAGAGTTGTTCTTTGATAGAGATTCCCCTGCCTAAAAATTGGTTTCTCTCCTCCTGGCAGGAGCTGGGGAGAGGCATCTTTCATTAGGCAGTTCATATTGTGCCAGTAGCAGAGAGTGCCTTCACCTAGGAAGATGCTGTCATGATGGAGCAGAGCAGAAATCTAGCAGCCCTGTGAAATGGCTGAATGCTGTGAATAGCGCTTTCACAGGTTCACATGGATGGGCCATGCGTGCAGAGTAAATTTTACATGACTGTTTTAAATTTAGTAAGAGGTGAGACTACAGCTTTTAATTTTGTTTTTCTAGAAGCAGATCTCGATCAAGGAGTTACTCAAGATCTCGCAGCAGGTCCAGGTCTACAGGATCGTCCAGATCGGACAGCCGGTCCCGCTCCCGCTCCAGGTCCCGCTCCAGGTCCAGGTCTCGCTCTCGATCCCGCTCTCGCTCTCGATCCCGCTCTCGTTCTCGCAGTCGTACTCCTAAAAAGAGTTACTCCCACAAAAGCCACCGCTCCAGCTTGATAGCTTCTTCCCCCTCTCCCTCTTCTTCTAAAAGAAAATCTCGTTCTAGGTCGAGCTCTGCTCACAGCCGTAGTTAACCTGCTTTGAGAGATGTATTAATTAATTTGATTCAAGTTTCTTCAAGACTTGAGACAAGTTATATGTGAGATCTGGGAGGGGAAGAGTTAACATGATGAAAGGGTGACCTCCTCTTACATTGCCAAAGTGCCTGTCATCAAATAGGCCATCTCTGTGAGGAGGGGCTGGCTGTCAGCTTTCTTCTTTCAGTGAAGTCTGGAGTGGGAAGTCTTTTTTATTTTTTCCCCTGCTATTAGTAAACATTTCTATCATAGATATATTATGTACACGTAATGCTGAGGTAATGGGATGAGACAATACGCTGCTTTCTCCCTCTCTTGCCCCTACTTTCCCCTCCACCTCCAAGGCCTTTGACTTCCAAAATACTATGTTAGCTTTTGTCCTTGGTATTAAGTCTGAGAACAGGAAGTATAGATTTAATTCCTTTAAGGTTCTGTGGCTACTTTTCTGTGCGAGAATGAATGGACCAGATAAAATTAGTTTAGAGTTCCCCTTTTTCCCTGTTGCTTGGCTTAACAGGCTGTTTAAGTTCCAGCTTTACATGACCTTGACAATATGCTTAATTTGCAAAAGACTTTCAGGAATACACATTGGTTAGTTGAATATTGCTCACTTGGATAATGGATTAATACAATGTTAAGCAGTAATGAAAGCTGGAATTTTCTGTTAAAATGAGACATACCATCCAGATGTCAGGTTTATTGGGAATCCATTATAATAATTTTACAGTAATTCACTAGTATGTGGTATTGTATGTATAGGCCTTATTTGACAGGTGACTTCATAAAACTGCACAGAAATGTCAATATGCATGTCCATGTTTTTGATGTTTATTAAAGTGACATAGCTTTCATACCCAAAAGTGTGATACTGAATAACATGTGTATGACTAGCAATAGTCTTGATGGAAAGGAAGGTTATTTTAGTAATGAGAGCAGCAAAAAAAATTCCCAGGAAAAGTGTAGTCTAAATCTCCGGAATGCACACTTGTTTTGATTAATAGAAATTTCCACTGCAAATACTGTTGTTCTTACAATTTGGAATTAGATATTTTTTTTTAACTTCTGTATTGTCAAAGAAGGGAAACATTTTTGGAAGAAATATGTAAATTAATCCCAAAGTCTTACATGTATTTAAATGTACCATTCCTAATAAAATCAATCCTTTTTCTGGCTTATTTTGCAGTTTTGTTTAATTGTTGCTGTTGCTCACTTCAGTCTTTCTGACATGATCAGAAAGAAATTTATTTGTAGGTATACCTGTATAGAAGCAAGAAAATGGAAACTAGAAACCAGTTATAAGTGACCAGATGCTGACTAACTGGAGGACAGCTTAGGATTTTACTGTCATGGCCAGCAGTGGCTGTTTGAATAAATTGCAGAAGGATTCTTTCTGCAGTCCTTGCAAACAGGTTTGTGTGATACCGTCTGCTCTGACACTTCAACAGTGGAACCAACAACCAAATGGCCATGGGTATTGGAATCTTACTATAGGTAAATTCACTTGTCACTTCTGAAATATTGTACTAGAGATTCTTAAATTGCCTACACAATTTGTGTACATATAAGGCTTCAAGGCTAACACCCTTTGTAAAGCCAAATTGTTGGTGACCCTGCCATGGCAGGGGTTTGGAACTAGATTTTTAGGATCGCTTCCCACCTAAACTATTCTTTCATTCTTTGCAATGTTTGGCCACAGGACATTTTCCTCCTAGGGGAAGGAAGCCTTATCCTACAGCATGCAAATGATTGCAGCACAGGGTACACCCACCGGGAAGTCAAGCACTGCAATTATTTGCATTTCAGCAACTGGCTGCATCATCCCCCCAAAACAAGAGTACTTCTTTATTACTAATTACATTTTTGTCAGTTTAACACACGGCTTTTCATCATCCAAGGGTATCCCAGTGGTTCATGAAGATAAACATTATTGTGCTTGGCCACATCACATCTCTGCTTTATTGATGAGAAAAGGAAAGCGAGCGTTGTGTGTGTGCTCAGCGGTGGTTGCCAAACAAAAGGAGGTGAGGAGGAGGAAGAATATCCCTGCCAGGAAGGCTAGGATTCCTCACTGAGCAGGTTTGGCTCCGGCTTCTGCCATCTACTGGCTGTCCTTGTGCCAATGCTCCTGGGACTGTGAACGGGCTGAGAAGGGTGTGGCCTGTGTTCGAGGACAAGACATTTGTCTTTCAAAACCGCGCTGAAGGAGCAACGTGATCCCGAGTAGGAACAGCCCCAGGATCCATACCTGCATCGCTCTGCCCCGCTCCAGCAAAGGGTCCAGGGCCTTGAGTGCCAGGGCTGGAATTCCTCCACTCTGCCAGCTCCTCCTGCCACTCCCCGATCTGAGAGCTAACTTGTACAGCTCCTAAGTGGAATTAGTCTTCTTACAGAGGTTTTGGAAGCATGTAATTTCCCATCTGTTTCCCTCATTTCCACTCCATAGCCATTGTTTGCTGGCAGACTAAGTGCTTTGTGCATCCAGTACCTGAGGGCACATTTCCCATTTCTCCAGTCCTCCAATCAGGTCCCCCTTCACTTCCTCTCTCTGCAAACCTGCTGGAGAATTGTTAGCCTTTCACCCCGGGTGATTTCCTGGGATAATAACGCTGATTAGCCAACAGTTACCCCTGGCAGAAGGCTCCATGCCAGCCTAAAGGAGGGGATGCAGCAGAAACATCAGGGAGCCGTTCAGGCCTTAGAGTCAGCACCAAGAGGAAAGTGCAAGGGTTAACAGGCTGGGGTTAGGAACAAGGCCAGTTATATGCTGTAGTGGAATACCAGCTAATGGCAACTGGGTAGTCTCAAGGTGTTCAAAGGATATTCACTGCTATTGATTTGCTGGGCCTAAGACCATGAGGGAGGGAACAATGTATGGCAAAACTTGTTTTTCAAGATTAACAAAGGACTTAAAATAGAGAGTTTCACTGGTAATGAATGATATTTTTGTGTAGTGTGATGGCAATTTCTTGTAACCAGGGATGAACATGGTCTTTACCAGTTGTCTCCTTTTCCACTCTAGAAATCTCTTGTGCTGGAAAGATCCAGATCCAGAGCAGATGTTTCAGTTCAGACTTAGAATTTCCCTCATATGTGTGTATGTAGGTGTGACACATCACTGGAGACCCTGAGATCAGGTTCAGCAGGGTCCTACACACATGCTGGATTTGTTTTACCCAACAGCCAGCTGTCTGGTGTTGTATGGCAACTGATTTCTCCTCGATCAGAGTCCCATGGATATTACTTTGTGGTTCACAGAGGTAGGATGCTCCAGGATACTCTCTTAAGGGATGTGAGCACCCATTGGTATAGCTGAAGTTAAAATCTGAAAAGGCTCTCAGTCTAGAGCCTTGAAAAGAAGAGGTACCCTAAACTGTTAAAATTTGAGCCAGATGTTAGGGGACAGAGTAGCAGTGGTGCAGCATATGCTGGTAAGCAATGACAAGAAGGAGACGTTGGGGAAACATACAAATAAAAGAAAGGAAACTGGATGAAGTCTTTGCATTCACGAGACTATGGATGTAGGCTCCACTGTGACTTCTGGTTGGCATTTTCCAAGTGCCTCAGGCTGTCAGGAGTCCAGGCCAGCAGCATTCCAGCTACCAGACAGAGCTCTCTCTTCAGAGCAGACTGTGCTTAGGCCATGGGCAGTCTCTCCTTCTGCTGGTACCGACCATCACACAATCGGTATCTGGCCTCACTTGACAGCCTATCCCTTTCATGCCTCCAGCCAAAAATGGAATTTACCAGACATTGACTTAAATACCACATCTAGTGCTTCAGTCTGAAGTGTTGGTGTTGGTTGCACTGGTTTTGTCCCTTCTATGTATTTTTTCCAGTAAAGCTTCGGGTCACACTGGCTGTTTAACAAGAAGTATAGGCAAGCAGCTCTGCTGTCTCTTACACATACAGCCATTGCCATGTTCCCTGCATCACTGCCAATTCCTGTGAATGCCTTAACTGAAAAGCGATGTGCTCAAAAACACACAGGTTTTCTTACATGTTTAAAAAGTTTCCCTGTTCTTTTCATTCAAATTGTCACAGCCTGTTTCTAGCACTGTGCAAGAGCCATTACTGATCATGTAGACTGGTCTTCCAGGTTTGCCAAAAATGCTGCAAGATTTCTGCCCACACTTGCCCTCTGTTTGTTTTCATTTACTTTACCTTTCCCCAGTTCTGGCACTTGGATGGTCTAAACCCCACATCTGCTTATTCTACACACTCTTGAATTTCCTTTAGTCTAGCAGCTCGTCTCTCTTATCTGTGAGCACCAAAATTATTGCACTACACTGTATTTCCCAGTGAGAATCAATGACACTCAGTATATTTTGAGACCTCAAATCTCACCGCAAACACCTCAAAACCTGAGTGAATTTACTTAACCCTGCTAAGACCTCACAAACTTGTGTTGTGCACATTCCTGCCCTCCTACAAGCATCTCTGCCACCTGAACAGCAGCACTCGCAGTGCGTGGAAGAGGGGTGTGCTGGGAGCGGCTTATGCGTGTGCTTACGGTGGAGCTGTGCTGTGACGCAGCACTCAGGGCTGCCTTGGGCTGGGCTCTGCGGCTGCCCACGCGCTTCTTCACCGTGACGGTGCTGTTTAGGTGACAGCGGGGTCTGCCGGCACGTCAGCAGCGCCATCCCAGCGGGAAGTGCCATCGCTGCTTCCTACGGGGCGGATCCCGGGAACCGAGCGAGGCCCGCGCAGCCCCGGCCCGCCAGGTGGCGCTGTGGCACCGCTTCATGGAAACCGCGCTTCCAGAAACTCCAAATTCGCATCAAAATCGCCTCAAAATCTCGCTGGTGACCCAGAGCTTTGCCTTTGCGGAACGCCCCGACACACACAGATACACACACACACACACACACACACACGCAGAGCTCTGCCCTCGGCCTCCCATGCGGTTTTCAGCACGTTCACCTGCCGGTGAGCGGAAGGAAAGGTGGAGGAGCGGCGGGGGAGGCTCAAAAATCAGCCATGGAGGTGAGCCATGTGCAGATCTCCTGAAGGACCTGTTTGTTGGAAGGCACGTCTGTGTGTGCAGATAATCTAGGTCCCGTCATTTTGACTCCCTGGCATTTCCTCGAGCCCTTGGAAGTCTCTTTGTCATGACGGCCACCATGAGAAATGCTCTGAAGGGCTGTGGACCTGTTTCTCCAGCCCAGTGGTGGTTCCAGAACCGCTCCCCCGATCTCCACAAAATCTTATTAGCAACACAGACCAACAGCTTCACCAAGGGTCGGGCTGCCCACCTTTGTGAGCTCTGGCAGGGTGAGGGAGGGAGATGGAGAGATTGAATTAAGATCCAGGTATGAAACTGCAGCCACCCAGGAAACCTACACCTGCTAATCTTGAGAGGAGAGTGGTTACACAGGCTCAGAAGTAGTGAGAGCTAACAAATGCTTCTCTTCTGCACTAGAGTGAGAAACAAAACTGTCTGCTGAGGAAGCTGCCACCCCATGCCCATCCTCCTCCTCCCCCCTCACGTGTACCCACAGGAGCTGCCCAGAACGGGAGCTGCACCCCTCTGCCATGGCCAGTTTCTAGACAGTGGTAGGTACATACTGAATATTGCCACTCCTCCAAAGGAGACTGCTGACAAAGACGCTTCTGGAAATAACCTCTGGCTTAGTCTGGAGAAAATTTCTTGTTGCCTAGGTGTGACTTCTGAGCAGAATGGTTTTCTGCTACGTTTTACCACCCAGTGCCTACAACAGGGCTGTAACTCCTGTCCTGCAGGCTGGCTGGGGGCTCCTTCCCTGCATTCACCTGAGACCTCTGGCCCCTACCAATCAACTCCTCAAGGCAGCGTCTCCACACTCCAGTCCCCTTCCAAAGTCAGGGCTACCCCACGACAACATCCTCAGCCCCTGCAGAAGGAGTTCAGGTCTTCTTTATCATCAGTCTTTTTACTTCAAGGGGACTCAGCTGGCTTTCTTGGTTCACTCTTGATACCTGGAAGCAGAATCAGGGTCTGTGAGGTTTCAAGATCCCATCCCTCTGCTTGAGACGTTGAGGCCAGAACAGCCAGACTCCAAACTCACGGAGGAATGAATCAGCTCCCAGACTTTCTGGACCCCTGCTCCAGCAGCATGGCAACAAGGTGGTCAGATGCTTAATCATCTTGTGGTCCAGAGAGGAAGGCAGAGCTCTGGTCTTGGACTTCCCTGATCCC